CATAATTAATGAGTCCATAGTCCATATCGCAACCCGCGGAAAGCCTTGTAACGCAGTGCATTTTGGGATAGATAAATGAGTAAACAAGTAAACAACGATGTCAATTGTCTGTAACGTAGACTCAGTTTTCGAAAAACATTGGGTTAAATATATGCAAGGGGATACAGCAAGAAAAAACTCAAAAAATGTACAGTTAATCGAGAATTTCCATTTACTAGGCAAATCAAGCAAAAATGAAAACAAACATATGTTGTCTGTGGAAAAATCGAAACTAATTATGTGTTTTTACGATTTTACCGATTTGATTTGATGAAGAAAGGGAGATATATATCCCATGATAAATTGCAAAACCATTCAAAATCTCGGGCTTGTGATATGGACTATGCAAGTGACCAAATAGTCTCATTCTATTGGCCTAATAACMCATTAATTATGTATGCGTTTTTGAAGAAGCATACAAATAACTAAAAATTCATAATTTAATAGGTTAGTTTACTGACTTCATTTTATAAAATAATGTTATCTTCACTTCGCAGTATACTATACCTAAGGAAGGTCATGGTTTCAATATCTTAATCACTGTGTGTGCGGTCCTTGTGAGTTTTCAAATGACGCTGTAAAGAACTCTTTTCTATAAATGTCTTTTTGCAGTGAGGACATTCAAAGGGTTTCTCTCCAGTATGTATTCTTAAGTGACGTGTCAAATTTGATTTCTTTGAAAACTCCCTTTTGCAGTAAGAACATTCAAAGAGCTTCTCTCTAGTGTGCAATCTTAAGTGTTTACCTAAAGAGTCTTTTATTGTAAATTTCTTTTTGCAGTAAGAACATTCAAAGGGTTTCTCTCCAGTATGTGTTCTGACATGAAGTCTTAAATATTCGCTGCTGGCAAATTCTCTTTTGCAATAAGAACATTCAAAGAGATTCTCTCTAGTGTGTAATCTTAGGTGTCTACCTAAAGAGTCTTTTCTTGTAAATTTCCTTTTGCAGTAAGAGCATTCAAAWGGCTTCCTTTCTGAATGTATTATTAAGTGTCGGCTTAAATTACGCTTGTTTGAAAACGTCTTTTTACAGTAAGAACATTCAAAGGTTTTCTCTCCAGTGTGTTTACTTAAATGAACATTCAATTTATCTTTTGAATTGAATTTCTTGTTGCAATAAGAACAATTATTGTGAAGATTTTCTATCTCTTTGCAAGGTGAGTTTTTCACACGTTTCTCCTTCTCAGGCCCATGGTCAGGTATAGAGATATCTTCTGTTTTGTTATTATTGTCACTTGCGAACTTTACTAAGTGTTCAGTGCCTGCACTTCAATCTCCTCCCTGAATTTCACTTTCCATATTCTCATCACTATCTTTATTGCTGACATATTTATCTGTTGTTTCATTGTTTTTGCCATTTGTAATCTCTACCAAATGTTCAGATTCATTTCCATCAGTTATTTTCTCAAGAACTTTCAACATTGCATCAATAATTCCATCTCCATCCATACTGTCTTCTTCATCTTTAACATCTTCTGCATGGAAAACAAATGGCTTTTGTTGAGGTGAAGTTTCTGTGCTTTGCTCTAAACTGGAAGGACAACCAATATCTGTCTGTGTACACAAGTCTTTGTTGATAACTGGCTGACCAATCATGGCCTGATTGTCTCCTATTAAAGACTGGAATGATATTAAAAAATGATTTCTGGGTTAAACAAACTGTTTATAAATCATTATAACGTTTTACAGACAGTTATTTGTGTGTGTGAATATATTTAGGAGTCATTTTTGCCAATTGGGTCAGTGACAGTGACATTATACGTAAAATATTATTTATTTAAAACATATATAGATGCTTTTTTGGACAAATATCATAATTTCCAGAGTTGTGCACTACCTATTAAGTGTCCTTAATCAAATTCGCTTAAAACACAAGAATGTTTTTATATTTCTATTCAGGCCTCTAAACGTTTTGTAAAATCTTGGACTGTGAAGTATTTAGTGAATTGATTATTAACACCGTATAATAAACGAACACATCGTACAAAATACACTATCTTCGTCCGGGTGATCAACGTACAAAATGTATGTCGTAGATATAATAGAGTAAAACTAGCGACTGAGTAAAGGAAGAATCGAAATCCAATTGTGTCAAATAAATGAGGCTAATTAACATGCAATAGATTCATGCAAAGAGAGTGAAAATCTACATAGTCGTTTAACTTACACAAGGCCACTTGCGTTCTCCTGTCACTTTGTTGTAGTAATACAGAGTATGTCCTGATTTACACTTGTATTCTATCCATTTAGTATCCATCTTGTTTGTAAAAGGAATAATAAACCCCTAGAAATAGAGTGAAATCACACAATAACACAACAAACACATCAGACCAACACGCTACAAAATACCAACTTCTACCAGGCGTTACTCGACAGTCAGGCCGAAATGGATTCTGGACTGTATTTGCGACCAATCACGTTGCAATATTTCTGATTGGCGGGAATGTTAACGGCAGTTAACGCGCAGGCGACGCGATATTCTCAAAATGTGAAAGGAGCGACAATACTGTATTGATAAAAAAATCCTAACAAACACTTATTTGAATCTCCATAAAGAGGTATGTGTACAAAAACAGATCAAATGCGATGTTCAGCTTCAATCGTACCCGAAAATGGCGTCGTGTCTGCGCAAGCGAGAAATCGCTCGTTTAGCAGCAGCTTTACCGTGACTGTGGAATAACAAATAATAAATTTAAGGATATATATGTATATATATTTATCATATAATTATCTTTGAAATACCTATATTTCTCCATGACGTAAAATTGATATTTTCACTAGTGAAAATAACACATTCGAGGTTTCTCTATATAGTGGAAGTAAGAAAAAAATATATTTTCCGACATAATTTGCTTTCATATTTAATTAGTCGGACTAGCCGAAGGCGAGGTCCGACTTTAAAATTACCTTTTAGCCAATCTATCTGTGTGCCATGTCGCGTTTGGACCACCGGAAGTTAAGAATTTAATGATTAACTATTGAGTTGACTGTGTTATTACATGACCGGAAGCTCAAACTTATTGATGTACGAATATCGTTAGTAAATATTATATGCTACTTGCGCTTTTATATGACAAAAAGACTATTCGTTTACAAATGTGGTATCTGTGATCTCATCGGAATGCATCAGTCTAGGAATCATAAGTACGCGCATGTGCAGATCGCTTGGTGCTTCGAGTAGTATGCTTACGAAACTAAATCAATGGCCTTTCTAGCGTTAGGCAGTCCTGTGTGGGCAAAGATTTCAAATTA